CACGACATCCCACATGTCTGCTGTTCCAGGGTAGAAACATCATAGTTTACCCTGGACATCAGCCCAGGTAAACCAGAAGTAAGCACTATATTGCAAACAGACCCAGAGAGGCCATTTCCACAAGGGTGCATGACAAGATTTTTTGTTTTGGTAAGTTTGAGCTCCTCTTGGCAGTCAGAGCAGCATTTCAATCATTCTTCACTGCTGAGGGACAGCTATAAATCTTAGCTGTTCTCCAGCCTGTTCAGCACAACACCATGCTCTCCCAGATGGGGCTGGCACACTATGGAGCGGGCAGGCTGGCTGAAGAATGTGCTGCTTTTGTTTGCTTTGTAAGGGTGCACTCGGTGCTGGGAACCTTTGGCTGGGTGGAGCCTGGCATTGTGGCATAATTTTTTCTCCAGAGCTGCAGCTGTGATGTGGTTTAATCAGGAGCTGACAACTCTGCTTGTGAAACAATTAATGGCAACAAAACTGAAACCAGGAATGGATCTCAGCAACTTGTATAATGCAGATAAAGAAATAGAAATGCCACCCACCGGTCAGATTCTCCCCTTACCTATTCCATTGTAAAACAGGAGCAACTTCACAGGAGTGACAGGAGTGGGAGCATTATCAAGCTTAAGTCCTGGAGTCAAGAGCCTGAATATCTTGGAGGATCTGAGCCAATGAGTCAGTGCTTCTCAAAACTTCCTCACAATGACTGCATTTATGGCCCCATTTCCTCAGCATGACCCCATTTCCTCAGCATGGCCCCTCACTCCCAACCCACAGCTCCTCACCTCTGAGATCCCATCTGCTGATATTGTGATCCCATTTGGGGTTGTGACCCACAGTTTGGGAACTGCTGCTATAAGGAAACTTTAGCAATGGTGAAAGGGGTGGGTACATTTACTGGGTTTATGGGCAACCACAGAACTCAGAGGTTTAAGGAAGCAAAGAAGAAAAAATAACTGGGTGCAAGGCCAAGAGCAGGCATATGCAGGTGGGGGCCCTGACGGAGGGCATGGGACCAGCTCACTGCTTGCAGAAGGAGTCTGAGGACATCCTTAGGAACTCTGTCCTGATGTGTGGCCAAGAGACTGGAAAAAAGACCCAGAGTCCAATCAGTTGTACTCTGAAGCAGGTCAGCAAACAGAGCGAACTCTGATCCTATAGCGGAAAGAATTTGTCTCTTCTTAGTTATACTCCCCAAATCCATCAAACCCAAGCAACCGCCCATCTGGGAGAGGCTAACACTGCCCGACTGTGACCAGCACCCCAGATCTCAGGCAATCCTGTGAGCAGTATGCAGCCCATTATCCCACTGAGCAGCATCCACTTAGTGTATTGTCCAAGTCTGTCTCCTCAATTGTCTTTCTGCTTGGGAGGCCCGATCCTCAGTTGGTATGTCTTGTTGCAACTCTATGGACTTCAACATGGTGGCATCAGTTTATGCTGGCTGGGGCCCTGGCCCAGAATCTTTTCAATGCTCACATGGTCTGTTGGCCTATGGACTGTGATGGGCTTGTGTGTATGAACAGAAACACAGTTGTCTGTGTTTTGTCCAGCAAAGTCATTCATTATGAAGCCATGCATCAGCTAACAGCCCATTGTTTAAGTCAGCCCTTGATGAAGCCACCCTAGTGCCTGCATGAGTCACAGAAATGTTGACAGCCCCACTCATTTTATTATTAGCATCCGTTACAATAGAGCCTAGGGACTCCAGTTGCGGACCAGGACTCATCATGCCAGGTGCTGCAAAGACACAGAGCAGAGACAGTCCCTGCCCCAAGGAGCTTCCAATTGAGTATAGTACAAGAAAGGAGACAACAGGTGGATACAGACAAACAGGAGAACATGAGGAGACAGCACCAATTAGGAGGCTGGGTAGTGGTTCCAGCCCACCAGCTGCCTCTCATTAGTCAGGATTGCCTGTGCATGGCAGCAAAGAAGAAATGTATCCACAACGTGGCTTTGCAGTGTTTATGGGGAGTGCCTTTCATGCACCAGGAAAAGCACAGAGGTGACTGAAAAATTACAGGTGGGCCATAAAGCCTGGTACCATGGGCAGAGCAGAGGCAGGAGCTGGCAGCTCAGTGAGCCCTGCTAAAGCACACATGCACCTCACCATGTTCCAGACATTTTGCTGCAGAATAAAACAGCAACATTGTCTTTCCTTTGCTTTCATATGTAAAACAGATGCCCTGGTCTCTCCTCCCCTTCAAATCAGCCGCCTGATGGTGGGTGCCCTCTTTGTGGCCTGAAAGGGAAACAAAGTCTATTTGTCTCAGGACTGCTATGAGCTGAGGTCAGTGACAACTTTCTCACTCTAAATGCATTTAGGCACAGTGGGACAGATGCTGCTCTTTCTTTGACCAGTGTAACTGCACAGTAACTCCATCATCTATGCTCTGGTGTGTTCCCCCACAAGTCCATCAACAGAGAAATTTCACAGTGGGAAGAGGAGTGCTGTATATTTGATCCCGACATATATTTCTTGCGTGTTCTCTCATGCCCTCCTCCCAGGCAGAACAGATAGCGAGGGACACATTCTGGTGTTCTGTATGTTACGGTTATCATCATCATTATTATCACATCCTGTGATATATTTGGTGGTTGGGAAAACTGTTCATGTTATTTAATACTCAACACATTAGCACCCAACTCTGAATATTACCAGGCACAGTCCCATGGTAGCCAAGGGGTAGCAAACTGCATACTGGGTGCATCTACATGAGACGCTTAATAAGCATCAGTCTAATAACACTGAGCAGTAGTGTGGTGCTTAAAAACCATGCTAATAGCCTACTGTGCAGTGTTCTTAGGCTAATGTGCTGTAAGTGTCACAAAATAACCGTGCCAAAGCTACTAGAGTTACTGCGTATTCATTCAGTAATTCATTAAGGAAGTAAAAACTAAATGTGCAGTAATTAGGGCGCATTAATGAACATGTAGATGCGCCCATTGAGGAGTCAATGCCCACAGGCCCTGCCAATATCACTCCGAGGAACTTCATGTGTGAAGCGTGTGGCTAGATGCCCTTCAAGCATCCATATGGTAGATAAACACAAGTGTATGGGTGTTTGCACCTGATGTGCTTCATGCTCAAGAGTCAGTAGGATGGAAAATCAGTAGGGAATGAAAATGAAGTGAAGAAGGATGGATGCTAGGACACAAACGGGACAACTCAGTACTGGGCCCCAGTCTGTCAGCGGAGTGGGTGCTGGTGCTGAGGCAGGGTCTGTGTGAGGTGCGGGGAGGCAGGAGCCCCCCAAGTGGAGCCGGAGGCTGAGCGTGGCAGCTGCGGTGCTGACAAGGGCTGGTTGCTGTGGGTGAGACTCGCGGGGAAGACAGTCTAGAGGAGCCGGGCCTGGCCGGGTGCAGAGCAGGGTGGTGCTGTGTGGTGCAGCTTGAGTGGAAACAGCAGGCCAGTGACATAGTTGTCGACCCAGGAAGGCCAGGACAAGTGCAGTGTTCAAACTACACACAAGGTCAGGATGGCCGAGCGGTCTAAGGCGCTGCGTTCAGGTCGCAGTCTCCCCTGGAGGCGTGGGTTCGAATCCCACTTCTGACACAGTCTTTTGCCCTTCCCCCCTGTGCTTTTGCCCAGGCACCCACAAGCGCGGGAAGAGAGCTCGGGGCAGGAAAACACGCCGCAGGAGGGGCTTGTCCCTTCCTTGGTGCGGCGGGCGGGGACGCCCGGCTGCTCGGACACAACAGCTCGGAGGTCAAAAAAAGAAATAAAAGGACAAACGTGTCAGAAGTGGGAGTCGAACCCACGCCTCCAGAGGAGACTGCGACCTGCACGCAGCGCCTTCGACCGCCCG